CTTTGGAAGCAGATAACTTGTATTCTAGATTTCACAGATGAAGAGGAATTTTTGATTTTTAGACTTGATATGATGGGGTGAATTTGTTTTACATGTGGCAAGGACATGAATTTTGGGGGGCCAAAGTGTGGAATGTCATGGATTGAATTGTTACCCCAAAAAATATCTGTCAACTTGGCTAGGTCATGATTCCCAGTACTGTATGATTGTGTACCATTTTGTAATCTGATATGATTTCCATATGTGTTGTAAACTCTATCACTGTGATGTAATAAGATGGAATAGAGGTCTACAAGATTAGATAGTGTCTTAAGCCAATCTCTTTTGAGATATAAAAGAGAGAAGTGAGCAGAGAGACATGGGAACATCATACCACCAAGAAAGCAGTGCTTGGAGCAGAGCGCATCCTTTGGATCTGAGGTTCCTGAGCGGAGAAGCTCCCAGACCAAGGGAAGATTGATGACACAGACCTTCCTCCAGAGCTGCTGGAGAAAGTGTTCCTCTGGAGCCGGTGCCCTGAGTTTGGACTTGTAGCCTACTAGACTGTGACAGAATAAACTTCTCCTTGTTAAAGCCACCCACTTGTGGTATTTCTGTTATAGCAGCACTAGATGACTAAGACAAAACTGAAGGCTGTAGTCTTTGATCTTCATCAGTAATTGCTTCAAGTCCTCCTTGCTTTCAGCCAGCAAGGTTGTATCATCTGCATAACATGGGTTGTTAATGAGTCTTCCTCCAGTCCTGATGCTGTGTTTTTCTTCATGTAGTCCAGCTTTTCAGATTATTTGCTCAGCATACAGATTGAATAAGTATGGTGAAAGGATACAACGTTGATGCATACCTTTTCTGACTTTAAACTACGCAGTATCCCTTGTTCTGTTTGAACAGTTGCCTCTTGGTGTACATACAGGTTCCTCATGAGCACAATTAAGTGTTCTGAAATTCCCTTTCTTCTAAATGTTATCCGTAATTTGTTATGATCCACACAGTTGAATGCTTTTTCATAGTCAGTAAAACACAGGTAAACATCTTTCTGGCATTCTCCTGTGCTTTCAGTCAAGATCCATATGACATCAGCAATGATATCCCTCATTCTATGTCCACTTCTGAATCTGCCTTGAATTTCTGGCAGTTCCGGATCGATGTAGTCCTGCAACTGCTTTTGCGTGATCTTCAGCAAAATTTTACTTGCGTGTGATATTAGTGATATTGTTTAGTTATTTCCGCATTCTGTTGGATCACCTGTCTTTGGAATGGGCACAAATACAGATCTCTTCCAGTCAGGTGGCCAGGTAGCTGTCTTCCAAATTTCCTGGCATAGACAAGTGAGCACTTCTAGTGCTGCATTCATTTGTTAAAACATCTCAATTGGTATTAATTCCTGGAGCCTTGTTTTTTACCAATGCCTTCAGTGCAGCTTGGATGTCTTCTTCAGTTCTATCAGTTCTTGATCTTATGCTACCTCCTGAAACGGCTGAATGTTGACCAGTGCTTTTTGCTATAGTGACTCTGTGTATTCCTTCCATCTTCTTTTTATGCTTCCTGCATTGTTCAATATTTTGCCCATAGAATCTTTCAGTATTGAAACTAGAGGCTTGAATTTTTCTTCAGTTCTTTCAGCTTGAGAAATGCTGAACATGTTCTTCCTTTTTGGTTTTCTAACTCCAGGTCGTTGCACATTTCGTTATAATACTTTACTTTGTGTTCCCTAGCTGCCCTTTGTAATCTTCTGTTCAGCTCTTTTACTTTATCATTTCTTACATTCACTTTAGCTGCCCTATGTTCAAGAGCAAGTTTCAGAATCTCTTCTGAAATCGATTTTGGCCTTTTCTGTCATTCCCGTCTTTTTAACGACTTTTTGTTTTCTTTATGTATGATGTCCTTGATGTCATTCCACAACTCGTCTGGTCTTCAGTCATTAGTATTCAGTGTGTCAAGTCTATTCTTGAGATGGTCTCTAAATTCAGGTGGGATATGTTCAAGGTCATATTTTGGCTCCCCTGGACTTGTTTTAATTTTCTTCAGCTTCTGTTTGAACTTGCATATGAGCAATTGGTGGTCTGCTCCACATTCAGTCCCTAGCCTTGTTCTGACTGATGATACTGAGCTTCTCCATCGTCTCTTTCCACAGATACAGTCGATTTGATTCCTGTGTATTCCATCTGGCGAGGTCCACGTGTATAGTAGCTGTTTATGTTGTTGAAAAAAGTTATTTGCAATGAATAAGTCATTGGTCTTGCAATGACTTACATGTCGCTAAACCCAAAGGTTAATTCTCAGTTGTCTTTATCAACCCGTCTGCCACTTTTGACACAGTTATCACTCCCTCCTTCTTTAGTACTCTCTTCCTTTTGCCTTCAGGGCACCATTCTCTTTTAATTCTTCTTCTATCTCACTGGCTTCTCTTTTTTTGTTTTCTCTGCTAGTTCCCCCTTATCTTTCCAGCCTCAGATGTTGGCATGCACCAGGCTCAGTCCTCAGACCTTTTTCTTCTCTATTCATTCTTAACTCCTAAATTAGCCCAGTGATGCCCATGGCTTTACATACCATCTATATGATGATGACTGCCAAATGTATGTCTCCAGCCCTAACTTCTCCCTGAACTCCAGACAACTGTTAAGTTGAAAATCTCTAAACTCACATGTCCAAAATTAAACTCTTGTTCTCCTCCCCTACCCCTGTAAAACCTGGCCGTCTCATTTTCCCATCTCAGTAAATGGCAATTCCTCTCTGCTGGTTGCCCAGGCTAAACCCTCATAGTCATCCTCTACTCCCCCTTCTCTTCAGGCCTTACATCCAGTTCATCAACAAACCTTTTCAGGTTACCTGTTTTGAAGTATATCCAAAAGGTGAAGCTTCTCATCTTTAGCTATCTCATCCTAGTCAAAGCCACTATAATTTCTTGCAAGGTTACTACAAAAATAGCCCCCAATATGAGCTTACTGCTTTTGCCCTTGTGCCCTGCCATCTGTTCTTCACATAGAAGCCGATATGATCATTTTAAAATATAAAATAGACCAACCACATCACTCTTCTGTTCGAAAATCTCCCATCCTTTCACCTCACTCGCAGTAAAACACCAAATCCTTACTATGACCTACAGCATCGTATGTGTTTGGCCCCAATCCTTTCCTGCCCATATCTCCTGTCAGTCTCTAGGTTCCCCTCCTACACTCACTATACACTGGCCACACTGCCCTCTTTGCTGCTCTTAAAAATGTAGAGATTGCTTCTACTCCAGAGCCTTTCCTTCTGACAGGAACACTCTTCCTCAGGCTCTCTGTGTGGCTCCCCTTTCTCAGTCCCCTTAGGACTCTGCTTTATAAAGAGCCCCTTTCTGCTATCTACTCTCACATCACTGTCTAGTTCCTTTTTCTTCACAGCACTTATTACCTCTGACAAATATTCATTGTTTACCATCTCTTCTCACAAAATGTAAGCTCCGAGAGGAGTGACACACATAGTAAAACTAACACATGCAAATGTGTAAATAAGTGATGAATGAAGGAGTCTTAATCAGTTCTCACTTCTCCAAACTCCTTTTCTCCGTGTGTACTTTTTGGCTCATCAAATCTCTCAATCATATGGAAAGATCAGAACTGAGATGATAGAATTCTACACAGATTTTTTTTAGGAGTTTCTTTGAAATACACCCCTAGAAATGAGTGCTGGGCCAAAGAGTATTCACCATAAGTTAATTCCTACTCATAGCAACCCTGTAGGACAGAGTAGAACTGTCCCATAGCGTTTCCAAAGAGCAGCTGGTAGATTTGAACTGCCAACCTTTTGGTTAGCAGCCAAGCTCTTAAACACTGTGCCACCAGGGCTCCAGTTCAGATGTAGAACCTTCTTTCTCTGGGTGCTTGGAGAGGATCCTGACTTGTGTCCCTGCCTCCCTTGTCAGATGGCCACACTATTTAGGGGCCTAAGAGCAGAATGTTAGGGAAGAGGTAGTGCCAATCCCAGAACCCACTTCACTCCTCTGAACCCACAGTCAGGCTCACAGAACTGGTGAAATTTTCAAGGTGATTTTCTTATGGGGAATGTCTTAATGAGGAAATGTTTTGTTTTAGGAATCAGAGACAGTTATTACCGTTATTTGACCTTCTATCTTCTTTTCCTGTTTTACATTTTCATTTATTCAGCAGGTATTTACTGAGTACCTGCTGTACTCAGTACTCAGGAAACCAGGGAGACAGTGGTAAACAAGACAGACAGTGTCTCTAACTTCAAGGAACTTGACTATTTTTCAGTGTAAATGAAATAATGACAACTAAGCCCAGAACACTTTTACTATAAACACTCCATCGTCTAAAAGACCCTGACTCTTCTGATCCTCACCATTGTTCACATGTAATTGCACGCTATCATAATGAGTATTTTAGGAATTTTATTTGCTTGATTATTTCCTCTAGAATTTTTCATAGCTCTATGTAATCTACATGTTCCTTATTTTGAGTCAGCATATCAATTTAGCTTATCTGTTCCCCAATTGCCAGACATTCAAGCATTTTCGTTTCCCAATTTTCATTGTTATGTGCCTTTTCCCCGTAGATTTTTTTCAATATATTTACAAAAATATGCTAATCAGGTGAAAGGGTATAATAAGTTTTAAAGCTTTTTACATTTTTCCAGATTGCTCTTTAGAAATAATCATTACATTGTGATAAGTACGAGGAAACTAGGGTAACTTTGTTCATATGTTTGTTAAAAAGCTATTAAAAAAAGATTTAATTTGCTTTAATAAATTTCCAGGATGAGTGATGAGTTGGTTGGTTGGTTGGTTTGCCATAAGCTTGATGTGTAGTACCTTTACTTCAGTAAACATCGTGGGCCTGTGTGTCTCTCCCCAGAAACCTGAATGAGATTAAGTTTATCTTGCTCTTTTAATCCACAGGAACTTTTAACATCATTGAGTATCTATTGAATTGTAAAAGTAATTTCAAACCCTCTTCCCTGGGAATAGTCTCAAGTGAACTTATATTTTGCTTCATTAACAGATTTGGGTTCACAGCGCTCACAATGCCAGCGGTTATTTTACAATTTATGGAGATGAGTCCCTCCAATCAGATCACTTCAACTCAAGATTAAGTTTTGGAGACACCCAGACTATCTGGGCACGGACAGGCTACTTGGGGTTCCTGAGGAGAACTGAGCTTACAGATGCAAACGGAGGTGAGAGTTTGCATGCTGTTTCCAGGCCACCAACCCTCCCAAACAGATTGGACAGACTGCTGCTCCCCAGCCCCCTTCTGGACCCTCAGCCCTTGAAGAGGGAGAAAGGTCAGGTTCCCCTAGACACTGAAAGCATGTCTGTGGTTGAGAACATACACATATGAGTATTCTTGCTGCTCACCAGCCTGAAAATAGCTAAGTTTAAAAATGAGGAATGTCAAGTGCCAAATGTACCCATTTAGCTCACATACTCTTTCTTCTCCTAAGATTTAAAACCAGGGGGGCCCTTCGGCCGTTTAGTAGAATCCAAGACTTCTAAGCATAGGCTTCTGCGTTTTCCCAACAGAATGCTCGTAGGTAAGAGCTTGCTGACTCTTCCTCACCACCACTGAACACCTGCCCCCTCCCACCCAAGACCCATCTGAAATGAGAACAAGAGCAGCACCCCAGGAGGGCAGCTGAGAGCATTTCTGCTCCTGCTGCAGGTCTGCCGCATCTTCCTCTGCCACAGAGCCCTGCACCTGTCTCATCCCTGCACTCTGGGAGCGACACTGCTGCCCTCTGCTGGTGACTGTGCCCACGCTTGACGGGGAGCCAGGCAGCCCATGAGGCCACTGGAGCACTGGGCCCTGGGGCCTTGGGTAGTAAGGGGCATCTCTCAAGTGTATTCACCCCCCAGCACCTAATACTGGCTTTGGGACTGTTAGGGTGAGCCCTGTTGCAGAGATACTGCCTCTGCTTATTTCTGAGGAGGTGTCAAGTCAGGGCCACGGATGTTTCTCAAAACCAAAACATGAGAGCATGTTTGCGCACCCAATTTCTCTGCTAATTTGGAAATCCATTCTCACTCTCCTTAACCGTTGCTGTCGAGTCGATGCCAACTCACAGCGATCCTATAGGTCCACTAGAATTAGAGGCAGGACTTGAATATTTCATACAGGTAGTAGCTGAGATTCTTTAGTGATATCCCGGCCGACCAAAACCCCAGTGAGACGGATTTTGAAACATCAGCAAGTTTCATTAACGTGCATGCAGAAGAACTTAATGGGAGCTAAATTAACCTGACTGAACAGTGACTAAATTTAGGAAGAAAATTACAAAAACATTTTAACATAATATTTCCAATTGAGGAAAATGATAGACTATTTTATTGAAACATGCTCTCTGGGGTTCTTGTGGAGAGCTAAATTTAGTGATGTGAAAGTTGCTGATAATTTATTCATCCTGAGGAAGGCCAGGAAAGGGCCCATCGTGTGAACCACTGGGTCACGGTCAGCTGTTGCTGTTTACTTGCCTCTCTGGTCCCCTGGAAGATGTACGCCCCCTGCAGGAGTGGAGAGAAGCTCAGGGCTGATCAGTGCCAACACTTGAATGGATGCACCTTTTCTTTTCTTGTCTGACTTCAATTGGAAAAGATGTATTTTCTGGTATTAGGTTATTTATGTCAGTCATTTCTTTCAAAGTTGCCCTGGTGTGCTTAGTACCCTACAGATCAAGGACACATTTCCTCACTGTTAAGGACGGACTGCATGTCATCATTACTCTAAGCTTTGCGTTACTGATAAAAATAAACCTCATGGTTAGATGAGCTAGGGAACTCAGTCATTTCCTATGAAGAACGTTACCAGAAACTATGCTTTCTTTTCCCACACATGTATGGAATTAATAACCTAGTTAAGAACACAGAGGGAACTGGGTTTGATTCTGGCTGTGCTACTTCCTAACTACATGACCTCAGCAGATGAAATCCCCATGGTTAGCCTCAGCGTCCTCTTCTGTGGACACTGTGAGGGTAACATGGTTGCCTGCCAGCCCACATACTCAGGCACTACCTCATTGTTCTTGATAGCTATAGGACCACGTGTTGACAGTGTATAGACACTGATCAAAAGTGATAATCCGTTTCTTGCCCTTGGTTCTGAGGACATAGAGGGAATGTGGCATATGTGCAGATGAGCAGTCCACAGAGACAGAACACAGTGCCACAGGCCCTATTCCTCTGCAGAGCTTTTCTTATTAGAGGCAGCTAATTATCCCTAGCTCAGTGGTCCCTTGGCTTTGCATCTCTGTCTCATTCAGAGATAGTTTTCATTATTTTTTAAAAAAAGGACAGTGAGCAACATTGCAGTGAAGACTTATGCACATGTGTTTTCTCTTCCCTTTTTTGTAAACAGAGCGCCATGATGCCCTCTATGTTGTGGGTGCACTAGATGAAGCCATGGAGTTGCGAGGGATGAGGTATCACCCAATAGACATTGAGACGTCCGTCATCAGGGCCCACAAAAGTGTTACAGAATGGTGAGTAGCAAGGGTGGGGGGCAGGGGGAGGATTGTGTAGACCTGAGAGTAGTGGCAGTGCTGGTATAGAGTGGGGCACTATAGGAGGTATGGTGGAGGAGGAGGGTTTGATAGGATAGATAAGGGAATGAGAGTGAGCTTTTGATTGTAAACCTTTATCTTCAGGGAGTTAATAACTTAGCAATGAAAGGGCACTCCTGGCACAGGATTAGTGTATCACACTTCACCTACAACTGATATACTTTTATTACTGTGGAGACTACTTCATAACATTTTCCAGGAGGCCAAGTTTTATTGTTTGTGTTTGTCTTTTAGTTTAAAAAGCATGATATAGGAAAAAAAATAATAAAGTGCACACATACATAGAAAGGCATGCAAAATACTTTTATGATTGTCAATTTGAAAACTTTAAAAATGAATGTGATAGGTGGGAAAATCTTAGCTGAGAGCAGGGGCAACATTATGGCCAAGCTTCACTAGAGACACGTTCAAAGGAAGACATGTTTGAATTAAACCCAAGCCAATAATAGCAAGATACCTCTTATAGATTCTTCGGTGGGTAGTGTGGCAGCTATTCAGGTTTGGGGCCGATAATGAGGTCTCGGCCCAGAGAAGTACTTCCAGCATTTGAGGTCAGGGTTGTGTCTTCTTCTCTGGCCCTTTTAATCTGCTGTAAAGTGCTGAGTGTGCTAATGGTGCTTCATAAATAATAGCAGCAGGTTTGGTGACTGGGCAGCTGCTCTTTCTATGTTTTCTGTGCAGCGCACTCACCGTGTTATAGCACACCCCATCGGTAATGTGATGGTCTGGAGGCTGGAGCAGTGGGTTGCTCTGAGCTGAATCAACCCATGCTAATGAGTTTCTCAGGCTCACACAGTGCCTTTATATTGAGTTAAGAATTAAGAGTGACTCAGCATCACTAGGTTTAGATTTGTTGATTCATTTGGTAGTAGCCAAAGTGCTTACCAAAGGGCACCAAGTCCCTGGTCTGGCAAAGAGACCAATGAAACTGATCTCAAAATTTAGGTCAGGACCCTTAAGAGAAGTACATTCTGAAATCTCTTATGGGCTGTTTGTCTTGGCTGAATGCATTGCTTATGAGTTTGTTCATTGCTTCTTGTAAGCTGATTGGTTTGCAGTGGGCAGGCTGATATTTAGTGCCATTTGCTGAATCTGAACATTGAGTACTTGGCAGAATATAAGGGATAGAGTTTGTATGCCCATGAATTGACCTGTGGTTCAGACTGGCTAAGTCCCTGTTTACCCTGAAACTAAATTCCTCAAATTGTCAATGTTACTTCTCTGCTTGAGTACAGAGGACAGAAACTGATCAATCAACAAAAGCCCTAGAAAATGCCAGCCTGGAGGTGGGGCAGAGGGCCTACCCCAGTTTACATCCAACCAAAAAACCAAACCAGTTGCTTTTGTGTCGATTCCAACTCATGGTGACCCCATGTGTTTCAGAGTAGAACTGTGCTCCATAAGGTTTTCAGTGGCTGATTTTTTTGAAAGTAGATAGCCAGGCCTTTCTTCCAAGGCACCTCTGGGTGGACATAAACCTCCAGCCTTTTGGTTGGTAGCTAAGAACACGAACAGTTTGCCCCACCCAGGAACTCCAGTTTCCATCTAGATTGCTATAAATATTAGTTACAACCTTTCATTTTTATATTTTTAAGGAAATTAATTGGCTTTTATTGCTTCCTTCAGGTATTTTCCATCTAGTTGGGAAAGGACTGTTCTCACTGTAAAGTTCTGTTTTAAGGTTCTTGGCCTCCTGTGTGCCACTCTGTGGATTTCTAGTCCATATTTCTAGTTTTTATTCTAAACATGACTTGTTGTTACCTGCTGTGTGGCCACTAGCCTGCATGCATTCATCAGATGATTAGTGTAGGGAACTGGACTCGCCTTTGTTCTCATGAAATGCCCTGAAGAAAGAAAAGCTAAGGGATTTTTTTCTGATGGACTTTCAGTACATTTGAAACTATTCAGCCATAACCTGTTTTGTTGTTTTTATTTTTAAACCCTAAAAAAGTTCTTCACTAAATTCACTTAGCCAGATATCCTTCTTGCCTTCTAAACTTGTATGTGTTACTCCTTTCCAGCACTTCACCATTAATGACTTGATACCAAGAAATACGGGTGCTCTCGTGTTATGAATGCTACACAATACGACTCTCACTGTCGCATAATTCCGGCCAACCAAATTGTTTCATTTCTCATGGTTGATTTTTATTAGCCTGAGTATATGAAGAATGTCACCTCTTCTTTCCCGTTGTGAAAAAGAGTCATTGTATAAACCAGCATCTAGTCCCCAGAAAAGCTCTGAGAGAAAGTAAGCAGCATCCCAGAGCTTCCTGGAGAAGCCAGAGCTAACAGTAAAGCAAACATGTTTTGACCTACTAGATTAAATATGGAAATCAAGCTCATTCCTGATACTGTTGAACTATGTTATAAATTTCAAATGCTATAATAAAATAATACCAAATGTGGCTGAGAGGTTTATATAATCTCTGGCATTACAATATGGACTTACTTGGGCCAGGTAGAGCAAGATTTTAATATCACAAACACAACATTTTCTTGGGAACAGTTTTCCACAGGATTATTCCCTTATGTATACACACTTCTTACAAAGAAAACCCAGACAGAGAGATCTTTTGAACACATTCCCCAATATTTCTCTTTCATTTTAATGTATGTATTAGCCATACTGAACAATGTCTGCATTTTTTTTCTGATAGACTTACTCTTAACACTTGTAGAGAACAGTAGTGAGTCTTCCCCAATACCTCCTGGCTTACAGGTTGGATAGAACCCTCTTTGTGTCTGCCATGAGGGAGCAGGTGCCCACCAGCGCGCTGCTGAGAGCACTGATGTCTCCATCAAGTTCCCACTGCCCTGTAATCCGTTTTGGCCTCTGCAGCCAAGGAGACCCGTGGGCACCAGGGGCAGTGAGTTACAGCCTCCATGTCTTGTCGGACATCAGTATCCTTAAATGACCATTAAACAAAAGTCCAACTCTATAAGGTTAATGTTTTTTAAAACATAAGGTACTGGGCTTAAGCACTGGCAAACTGGTCTGACTAAATACTACTGAAAAACTACTAGATGCCAAATAAAACATACTTTTGGATGCACTGTTAGCTTGAAGAGGTAGAGAAATCTCGAAGAATTGCTCACCTCCCCACATGGGTTAGCTATTACTGTATTACCAGTCATCCCAACACTCAGTACTTTATCTTTTTATTGTTGTACATTTAGTGAAAGTTTACAATTCAAGTTAGTCTCTAATACAAAAATTTATACATACATTGTTGTGTGACCCTAATTGCTCTCCCTATACTGTGACAGCACACTCCTTTCCACCCCTGACTTCCTGTGTCCATTCAGCCAGTTCCTGACCCTCTCTGCCTTCTCATCTCACTTCAGGACAGGAGCTGCCCATTTAGTCTTATGTATCTACTTGAGCTAAGAAGCACAGTCTTTACGAGTATCATTTTATGTCCCATAGTCCAGTCTAATCTTTGTCTGAAAAGTTGCCCTCAGGAATGGTTTTAGTGCTGGGTTGACAGAGAGTCTGGGGGCCATGCTTTCTGGGGTTCCTCCATTCTCAGTCAGACCATTAAGTCTCCACTTTTTACTAGAATTTGAGTTCCACACCCTACTTTTGTCCTGCTCCATCAGGGACTCTCTTGTGTTCCCTGTCAGGATGGTCATTGATAGTAGCCGGGCACCATCCAGTTCTTCTGGTCTCAGGCTGATGAAGTCTCTGGTTAATGTGGCCCTTTCTGTCTCTTGCGCTAATACTTTCCTTGTGTCTTTGGTGTTCTTCATTCTCCTTTACTCCAGGTGGGTTGGGACCAATTGATGCATCTTAGATGGCCGCTCGCTAGCTTTTAAGACCCCAGACGCCACTCACCAAAGTGGGATGCAGAACATTTTCTTAATAAAGTTTGTTATGCCAGTTGACCTAGATGTCCCCTGAAACCATGGTCCCCAGACCCCTGCCCCTGCTACTCTGTCCCTCAAAATGTCTGACTGTATTCAGGAAACTTCTTAGTTGTGCTGACTTCCCCTGTAGTGTGTACTGTCCTTCCCTTCACCTAAGATAATTCTTGTCTACTATATACTTAGTGAATAACCCTCTCCCTCCCTCCCTACCCCCGTAACCATCAAAGAATGTTTTCTTCTGTCAACACTCAGTACTTTAAAACAGTAATCATTGATTGTTGCTCCCATGTCTGCAGGTTGGCTGTGTTTTGTGCCTGGGTGTCTGCTTCCAAGTGCAGGCCTTCAGGTAGCTGGAGGGCTCTGTCAGGCCATGGTGGCTGGGGCCACTCTTCTCTGCATGTTTCTCATCCTCCCCGGGAACAGAGGGCTCATCCTGGCTTGTCCCTCCCGTGGTAACTGCAGAGGCATGACAGAACAAGCCCAAACTCTCAAGTACTTTTCAAGCCTCTGCCTGCATCCCCTTCGCTAGCATCCCACTGACTGAGTGACAAGGCTGATCCCAGGTCCAGGGGCAGGGGAATATCCTCCACCTCTAGTAGGAGGGTCTCCACAGCTATATGGCAGAGTACACCAATTCAGAGAGGAGTGAAGATTAAGGCTAATAACACATAGTACACACATACCACACCCTCCAACAACAACCACAACAGAGCTGGAGCTAGAAATAGAAGGAATGGGGTTGCTTTGAGGGCAAATGCTGAGTGCTGCAAAGCACTCTGATTGGAGTATGCACCCTCCAGTCAGCAGCAAGGAGGCAGAGTGGAACCACAGACTCCTGACCCAACCAGGACCCTCTAAAGAGGTAAAAGTGATCGTCTGCTCCCACAGAAATATGAATTTTCAAACATCAGAAAACATGTGAAAAAGCAAGCCACCATAAGAGAAGGAAAGTAGAAAATACCAACAACAGATTTATTATTGCCAGAATAGCTCTGTATGGAATGTTTAGTTACTTAAAGGAGATGGAATCACAAAGATGAGCAGGCCACAAAAAAAGTTTCAGGAGTGACTAGGCAGATCTGAGAAACAACCAGATGGAACTTTTTCAGAATAATAGTAATTGTTAAATTAAAAAGCTCAGAATATAATGATGGTTTTTTCTCTCTTCTAGTGCTGTGTTTACCTGGACGAATTTGTTGGTGGTTGTGGTTGAGCTTGATGGGTCAGAACAAGAAGCCTTGGACCTTGTTCCCTTGGTGACCAATGTGGTTCTGGAGGAACACTATCTGATTGTAGGAGTGGTGGTCGTGGTGGACATTGGTGTCATTCCTATCAACTCCCGTGGAGAGAAACAGCGTATGCACCTACGAGACGGATTCTTGGCCGACCAACTAGACCCCATCTACGTGGCCTACAACATGTAGTCTTGTCTCTTTGGCCTCCATAGACTTTTCTAGAGATGTAAACATTTTTCTCAGTGTCCACTAAAATTGTGCAAATACGCGGGCAATATTCACGAGAATGGAACCTTTTGTAATTGTGATAGTGATGATGATGACAACTTTTCACAGCAGTCATGATTGGCATGGAAATGAAATGTGAAATGTGAATTTACCACTAAATTTAACTCAGAAGGACTTTGGGATTACTGCCTTCAGTTTGTTGGAAAAGCCCATTTCAAAAACTTTTTCTTTCCTTTTTTTTAATTATTGAATAATAAGTGCTTTCTTCGTAAATGTGGCATTGTATTTTGTTAAGCTGAAATAGCAATTAAAAAAAAAAATTCTGCCCTCCAGATGGGTTCTTTTAAACAATTTATGTAGTGTGACAAAGAATTGTTTTCTTTGTTTTAATGTGTCATGAAATCTTAATGACATGGATCTGTTACTAATTTAAGCCATTGCTAGATCTCATCCTTTTAGGACAGTTTGTTGAGGTACGAGAAAACCTTCCAAATAGCACCTTCCAATTAGATTTTAGCAGCTTTCTTTGTCAGAAATGTGCTGAAGAAACAAAGGCTAGTATATGGCCTTTGATGTTAGCATAGAATGAGAAGAAATTATAAATAAGGTGTATTTCGGCAATTATCTTGCAGATATCTTTGTACTAAACTAAAAAAATAAGTTAACTTCTTCATATGTAATTATGTACAAACCGTTTAATTTATTTTGAGCTCTTTAGAAGTATAAAAGAGAAAAAACATTCAAGAATATTAAAGTCTTGTAATGTTTGCTAATATAAAAAAGTGTTGTATTATCTTGCGTGGATAGTATCACAACAAATATATATATATGAAATATAAATTCACTAATGAAGAAAGGAGATTTTAACGTTTAAAATGCAGAACTTGTCACTTGCATGGTGTCCCCTCCACTGTACTGTAGATAATTGAGTGATTTACTCACATACACTTTGCTGACAAGAGCAATCACAGATTGCTAGTAGCCCTGCCTACAAGGTTCTTCTAGATACCAGAGACCAGCAAGTGAAATTATTGCCATCTCAAAGATGGTGAAGGAATTTAAGGGTAAATGTGCACTAATTTTTTTTTCTCCTTTGCTGTGGGGGCAACAATGAATGATTTTTGCTGGCATGTGCTTACTACATTTGATAGACTTTAGGAAAGGCCGGTTGGTGAATAGCACTGTTTTCTTAGCTGCAAGAATGTATTGCACAATATTTTCATTATTTTTGTTTGTGTCACCTTTTCTTTGGTTCTTGGTGTGAGAAGGAATGATATGATGTGGTCATTTGCACTAGGGTGCATTGATTCCCGCTCCCCCCGCCCCCCATCATGGCCACTGTGTGGAGTGGACACAATATCCAGAACAGCTTTAAGGGAAAAGACTCGTATAGGTGATCGTCATCTCATCTTAACAGCCCAACCAACTATGTGTGAACCTCTGGTCTCTGGTGTTCCCTAGCTTTGGCCATGAGCCAAATCCCCAGGGAACTGACCTGCCGGCTGATTCCTAACAGAGGCTCCTGACTGGAATAAGAAAGCGTGCCTCAGAGCTGCCTTCATCTTAACCACCTGTGGATAAACACATCCCTAGTTTCTGTTTCTGCTGCTGCTGTCTCTCTCACGCTCTTTAATTTTCAGAGCTCATCTGTCCACTTCTAAATTGAGTTGGCCTGTCTGTGTCCCACCAAGAAGGAGGTATCAGCAATCAGCAAGTGATTTATTTTCTAATTTCCCCAATATGATCCTGCAATGGCTCTCATTCCTAGATATGCATGACTAAGATTATTGCTGGGCAAAATGTAGATCCTTTTTTCATTATATCGTAGGCAATGTCTTTGTCTGCCTTTGCTGTATGCAGCCAGCAGTAAGCCCTTTGCTAAAAAAAAAAAAAAATAGAGTTTTGTTTGACTTCTAAGATCCAAGGCTGATTGTTTTGAAATTTTTTTAAAGGCACATTTCTTTTTTATTTGTCTGCATGTATGGTGCATCCCCCCATCTCCACAAGTCAGTTGATTTTTTTATATATTGTTTGACTTCAATTACTGTGTATGCATATTTCTGTACATGCTTCAGACACACATTCCTACCATCTTCTGCTTCCTAAGAGGAAAGAACCCCGCCACACACAGGAAAGACATTTTTATACACACACCGCCCTGTTTAAGGGAATGTTGATTTGGTTTCAGGTAAGATACTAACTAGGAAACATGCTTGCAATGTGCAGGAGAACTTAAGAAGTCCAGTCAATGTCAGGAAGCAAAACCCATGTAGATGTCACTTCAGACATACTTCTAACCTTCACCATAGCAACTTTACATTCAAGGGAGGGAAATGCTGCACTGCAGTCAATAACAGGTCTCTTCTCCATCCTGTCATCTCTGATGTTAGCATTTAGGTTCAGAAGAGTTGGTGGACTGGGATTGAAGTTTAGTTGTGCAAGAAAAAGGGAAAGGAGACACTTAAGTACTACCAGTTTCAGCAATAAAGAAGGATTGTTCTGTATTCCAAATTGTACTGTAGATAAATCATTCATGAGAATGTATAAAATGTTTGTCTTGTGACCTTGTGCTTTTGAAGTCAGACAAAACCATGTAATCAACTTGCACAAAGAGAAGGTACACAATGAACATTTAAACACAAACCTAATCAAACAGGAGCAGATTCCTCATGGTGCTTGTTTATTATATATATTTAATCCTGCTTGACACTTTATCCAAGGGGAAAACGATCCCTTTTATCAGTTGAATGTTAGCAGCGTTATTTCATAGAGTGTGGTGACTGGTTAGAGAAATTCATGTACTCAATCACAGTTTCAAACAAAATTTTTACGTGCAAAGGACAGCAATCTTCTTGTATGTTAAACCACCAGTACGCTTTGTACATCTGTGATAACGCCTGTTTTATATTCAAATGAACAAATAAAAGCTTTTATTTTTGTTGCTCTGAAAATAGCAGTTTCTTAATTGGTCCCCTGGAAAAATGTATGGGGCAGCTTCAATCCCAGGAAGGACAGTGACTCCTACAGTAAAATGTATCTGACTCTGTTTACATAATTTGTTGCATAACTTATTAGTACAGATAATCATACTTTGAACAATGTTTAAATTTTGATGTGGGCATTTATTGCTAAAAAAAAAAATTCCTATGGCAACAAATGTTTTTGTGAAATGTTTTTTTAATTCTTTTAAATATATCTAAATATATTTGTTCACATTTTGCTGCAAGTGTACAGATTATTGATAACTTTTTGGGACAGAGAGTAAGCATGAGTCCTGTGTGCAAATAACTTTCCACCAGATGAATTGCAAGGACACTTTCCCAGTTCGGGAAGTAGGTCTAGCTGACTTTTAGAGCCCAAATTGACTTTATTCATTGGACAAACCAAAGCCATATTCTTTGCCCAAGATCTGAGAATTTTGGTGGCTTTGTCTTTTGGAAAGCAGTAGCTGCTTAACTGCCCTTAGGCCTAGGAGGTTATCTACACATGAAAAGCAGTAGAACTCAAATCTACACACTGGGAAACCACCAGGCTTAATCTAAGTGACTTTGCTCTAGAGCTCCTCTTGTCTCCTCTGTCTTTTCCTTCACGACAGCCCCATACTAACTGGTGGGCAATGCTTTGGGTGTATGAACATGGATAGCATGTGTAAGATCAGTCTGTGGTTGCACTGAATTAAACAGAATATTGCAAGAAGGGACTAACTCTCCACAGGCCCCCAGTTTCTCAGACAACTGGCCCAACAAGGGCTGGTCAAATACAAACAAGGTAGTAACCAAGGGAATCGCTCCTGCATGGGCCTACTTCAGACGTGTGCGTGCGTGCGCGCGCACCCGTGCACACGTGCACTCAAGCATGTGTGTATGTGTCTAGAATTTTCTAGTGTGATACGTTCTTCATTCTCCAGGGCCTCTAGCACAATGCTGAGTTTTGGGAGACAACCACTGGTCAGTTGGTTGATGGATTATAACTCTCTGTCTTATGGGTCCTCTGTGAATTCGTAAGCACTAAGATTGACCACCTTGAGAGAAGTGATGAAACTGCTGCTGTAGAGAGAAGTTCCTGGCCAAAAAGTATTTCCTTAACTTCCCCAGCTGCTATGCTGCTCAACTTCAACTTACTACATTTTTGTTCACCATTCCTGATAACCACTAATACATTAAACATTTTATTTTCTACCATGAACAGTCATAAAAGTCCTCTCCTTCTGGAGCGAGAGCTTCAAATCAATGTCATCATTAGTTCCCTTAGGCCAAAAATATTACAGTCATATCTGGCTCAAATCTAGTGGATATTCTCTATTACCGTTTTTCAGTCTTTAAGGTTAATTCCATGAACAAAGTTTTAAGTGGTCAAGACCAAGGGCAACCTGATATCACAGCAAGTGATTCAGATTGGCCCCACTGCTAATGTGGTCTGCCATCTTGTGATGATGACAGCTTGAGGTGGTTGACAATATCTGCTCACCCTGGTTTGCTTGAGAAGTCTGATGTGAACTTCTCCCATGTCAAAGTAATGATCCAGCTTCGGCACACCCCTAATTTGCAGCCCTAACTACTCCTTCCTCGCAACTAAATTGGATTCAGGCTTTCAAGGGTGAAGTGAGTTTTTATCTGAACTCTATCATGCTGTGGCCAATTTAGTCTCATATTTAGAAATGGCATCCAAGGTGAAAGTCTGCAGAACTGAAAAGGGACCAAGCAGGCCTCCATCACTGCCTCAAAGACTTGGATTTCTTAACTACACCAACTACTAAGATCTCCAGGCAAATAACTTTTTTAAACTGACTGCCTTACTCAGACCTAGAGTCCAGTCTTCTTTCTTATCAGGGCTTAGACCTGCCCAGGAGAAGGCAGGGAACTGAGAAGAAGCAGAAAGGAAAAGTATCTTAAGTTAGGTGACCTGGTATTGCTGTGTGGATAACATGTTTTCATTTCCTTCACTCTCCAGCTGTGATGGGGAGTGTACCAGACACTGCATTCTAGATGGATATATCCTCTCAGAGGTGTGCAGAACCCAGATACAGTATCAGTATGTCAGGAGGATTAGCCTACTCTGTGAAATTGTAAAGTAGAATAAATTGAAAAGAGGAAGAGAAAATAAAAGCATGGTACCATATGCCCCTTTTGGAAGAGGGGGTTCTGAATGCCTGGGAGCATTGGTGTATTAAGGAAGAGGGCCAAATTTACTTCAGCTCTACTCCTTGTATTACTTTGCTCCCTGACATTGTATTGATTTGTATTCATTATCTCCTTATGAGTCTAGCTTCCCTCTTGGCTGAGTTACTGGAAAATAGGGTGTATTTTACCCTTCTCTGCATCCATAATGCCTAGCACAGTGCTTGGCTTATATTCCATAAACTCTTGCTGAATGAAGGGCTTCCTCACAGACCTGCCTCAAGGACAGAGTGGAATGAATGTCTGCTGTCATGGAAGAGGTGTGACGCCTTCCTGGTAGATGGACAATGTAAAATAATGGGTAATAGGCAGCAGCTGAAAACATGATAGACATTATTTTAATTCCATAATACAGAAGATGCCAATGTTAATGCTTGATAGCCATCCAGGCCTTGTTGCTAAATGTATTATAATAACCCATTGCTAGGGTCTCAATATCCCTGTGATTTGGCAAATCACATAAATACTAGAAAGGCGATAAAGAATGAGAAGGCAAAAAGGGGAAGGAGTTGTTGTTAGGTGCTGTCGAGTCAGTTCTGACTCATAGCAACCCTATGTGCAACAGAACAAAACATTGCCTGGTCCTGCGCCATCCTCACAATCGTTAGGCTTGAGTCCATTGTTGCAGTCACTGTGTCAATCCATCTCCTTGAGGGTCTTCCTCTTTTTTACTAACCCTCTATTTACCAAGCATGATGTCCTTCTCCAGGGACTGGTCCCTCCTGATAACATGTCCAAAGTATATGAGATGTAGTCTTGCCAACCTCATTTCTAAGGAGCATTCTGGCTGTACTTCTTCGAAGACAGATTTGTTCATTCTTTTGGCAGTCCATGGCATACTCAATATTCTTCGCCAACATCATACTTCAAAGGTGTCAATTCTTCTTCGATCTTCCTTATTCATTGTGCAGCTTTCGCATGCATATGAGGCGCACCTTAGTCCTCAAAGTGACATCTTTGCTTTTGAACATTTTGAAGAGGTCTTTTACAGCAGATTTGCTCAATGCAATGTGTCGTTTGATTTCTTGACTGCTGCTTCCATGGTTGTTGATTGTGGATCCAAGTAAAATTGAAATC